TACAGAGAGTATGTGTAACCTATAAATAAGTCACTTATCTATCTCAGGATGAAATATTGTTTTTACTGCTAAACTGTCCATAAACTGGAAAGAGACTGATTTAATCTTTTTCTTCAGAGGTAGTTGGCCCTATTCCCAGCAATGCAGATAATTGAACCCTTGATACCAATTAGCAGGACCATTTCTTCTTACCATGTGGACAGCTGAAGTCTTGGGTTTTATCAAGTATCGCCTCCATCTTGGCCTTCAGATGCGACCCTACCGTCTGACCCCAGGGTCTGCCTTCTCCCCACCCTCCTCCGTGCGACTACAGCTTCCGCCGGAGCACGTCCAGAAACACGAGTTACTAGTCCGGCCTTAGCTCCTTTTTCTTCTACCCAGTGTGGCCTGCCACCACCCAAAATCTCCCATGACGTTCAGACTCAGCTAAAGTTCCGCCTCCTCTCCAGATTGAGCACTCTTCCTAAATTCCTTCAGCATGTAATTCTCTGCTATAATTCTTGGAGATTTCAAAAGCCACATTCACCATCCTGCTAGTTCCTTGACCTCTCCGTTCCTTCACCCTCTGCTCCTGTCTTCAACCCTCAGCCATCACTCCATGCTTAGATCCTAGTTCAGTTTTTTTTTTAAATCCGAAAATGTAAAAATTGAGGAAGAAAACAGATTATGTCCGTGGTTTTCAAGCTTTCCCCGTTTCAGACAAAATCATATACAGAGTCCATTGTATGAATGAGAACAACCCAGAATCCAATGTATGAATGAGGAAACATAAGTGAAGCTATTGTGGTTAAAGTAGACAGAGTACCTAAAGCTCTACTCTCTTGACTTCCCCCACTGCAGAAAGAAACAAAAAGCAAAAACTCATTCCTGAGGCACCTCTAAAAACCACCCACGGGGGTCTGTGAAAACCTTGCCATTTACCTTTCTGCTTAGGGCTGTGGAGCCACAATTCTTTGTCACTCCATGCTAGTGTTTAGGGAAAGTGAGCCCCTCTGGAGGTCAAACCGATAAAATGATAGGTGCAAAGGGTTCACAAAACAAACTTACTTATAAGGATGATGATCAGTAGTCTGACAATTCCCAAGGCAGGAATCATTTCTCGAAAATTCTTGCAAAGAGATAAATAAAAATAATATAAGCTATCTATTGGCAAATGAACCCTCAACTGTACTCTCTTCATCTGAAGATGAAAGTTTGAGTGTCAGATATTTACAAAATAAAGCAATACTGTTGCAGCCCAGTTTTCAAATGTATTTGGGAAGTACAACGCTGTTGCACTTTAGAGAACAAAATCAATATTTAATTTCATGATGTGAACTAGACATAATTGTATTAGCAGGAAAAAATCTAAATATCAGTAATATGAAATCAATACTTAACATGTCATAGAGATAAATAGATAGATAGATAGATAGATAGATAGATAGATAGATAGATAGATGCTGTCAAACTAAGTCTGATGAAATATTTCTAAGGTTTTTTTGGTTAATATTCATTCAATACTTTATCCTCTTTCCAAACAGGAGTTAGTTAAAATTTGGGTATTAATTCTTTTAGATAATTTCAAAAAAATTTAAAATATTGGTTAAAAAAATAAAGTTTCATTTTAGCTTTGAAAAATCTCAGTCCGGGGCACCTGACTGTCTCAGTCAGTTGGGTGTCCAACTCTTGATTTCAGCTCAGGCCATACATGATCTTGGGATCATGAGATCAAGCTCTGTGTGGGGCTCTGTGCTCAGCAGGGGAGTCTGTTTGAGATTCTCTCTCCCTCTGCCCCTCCCCCTGTTCTTTCTCTCTTTCTCTCTCCAAAATAAATAAATCTTTTAAAAAGAAAATCTCAGTCCAGCTTACAATACCCTCCTGTGTTACTAAAGAACTACTAAGTCAGGGGCACCTGGGTGGCTCAGTCGTGTCTGCCTTCAGCTCAGGTTGTGATCTTGGGGTCCTGGGATCGAGCCGCCCATTAGGCTCCCTGCTCAGTGGGGAGTCTGCTTCTCCCTCTCCCTCTGCCCCTCCCCCCCAGCTCATGTCCTCTCTCTATCTCTTTCTCTCTCTCAAATAAATAAATAGGGGGGCACCTGGGTGGCTCCATCGTTAAGCGTCTGCCTTCGGCTCATATCATGATCCCGGGGTCCTGGGGTCGAGCCCCGCATCGGGCTCCCTGCTCGGCAGGAAGCCTGCTTCTCCCTCTCCCACTCCCCCTGCTGTGTTCCCTCTCTCGCTGTGTCTCTCTTTGTCAAATAAATAAATAAAATCTTTTAAAAAAATCAAATAAAATCTTAAAAAAAAAAAAAAAACTGAGTCAGAAAGACATCTCCACTTTACCGAGTTAGTTCTCCCTTCCCTTTCAATATATTAACTCTCTTCCCAAAGAGGAAAGACACTGAAATACCCATGTTTATTCTAAATCAATTATTTTTAAACTGTTGTGGTCACAACCTACACTAAGAAACAATTTACATAAAAATCCAGTACACACATAAGTCAAACAGTATTACATGTGATACAGACTGAAACTTTTTAAATTTTTTTCTTTTTAACTTTTTAAAAATTTTTTATTAACTTTAAGTAGGCTCCATGCCCAATATGGGGCTTGAACTCAAGACCCCAAGACCTCTGCCTACGGAGCCCACCAGGTGCCCCTCTTTTTGTTTTAATTTTTGGACACAATTCCTTAAACTGTGTTCACAACCACTAATGGGTTGCAATCCAAAGTTTGAAAAACATTTTTCTAAATAGCTTCTATTCTTGGAATAGTTTTGTAATTGCTTCATATTTTCCTCCTAGAATATTTTTAAATTATACCTATATGGTTAAAGGGTTTAAGAACTAGTCAGAATTTAACACTGTTTTGAAAAGTGGTTGACATTCTTACATACTATATCATGGGCGTATAAAATGGTATGCCAACTTTGGAGGGCAATTTGGCATTTATCTATGAAAATTTAAAGCCTTCACCCAGTAAATCCACTTCTAGGAATTTATCCTACCAACACACACACACAAATGCAAAAAGATAAATGTAAGAGAACATCCTTACAGCATTATCCACAAGTGTGAATAGATGAAGCCAGCCCAATTTTTTTTTCATTGAAGGATTAAATCAGGGTACAGCTATATAATGTGCTGTGGGGCACTTGAAGAGACTGAAATGGATTTCTGTGTAGTGATATGGGTAGATGGGGTCAAGATAACTCTATGTTAAGATGTAGAACAGTATAGGGACGCCTGGGTGGCTCAGTCGGTTAAGCGGCTGCCTTCAGCCTGAGTCATGATCCCAGGGTCCTGGGATCAAGTCCCACATCAGGCGCCTTGCTCAGCAGGGAGCCTGCTTTTCCCTCTCTCTCCCTCTGCTTGTGCTCTCTCTGTTAAATAAATAAAATCTTAAAAAAAAAAAAAAGATGTAGAACAGTATCTTTAATAGCGGATCCATTTTTGTAGCCTTAATTTTGGCAGGATTTTGAATACATCTAGAAAAAGGTCTGAAAGGATGTATATCAAACTGTTAACAGATACTATATTTGAGATTTTGACTGTTTTTCAAGTTAAAAAAAATTTTTTTGGTATTCATCACTTTTGAGATCAGGAAAAAAAATAAAGATAAAATATGAAAGGAAAATTCTGGTGCCCAGAAGGAAGATGAGTGCTCAGTAAACATGATGAAGATTCCCTGATCCAAATACCAGTTATTCTTTAAAAGAAAAAAAATCCATAGATTCCATTCCCAAAGTTCTTACCACCAGAACATTCATAAAATAGCCTCCCATCAGAGCATAGACTCCTCCTGAAGCACCCACAAGATATCTGAGTGGGTCAAAAATGGAGCTGGCAAGGGACCCTAAAGAAAGAAAACACAAAGGATCACACGTAACTGTAAGAATTGTGAAAGATAAATCTTTCAATTCTAAGGCAGAAGTTGGAAAGTTTGGACCGTTATCATATTAACAAGCAACAAGTTTATTTTGTTTGTCCCTTCCATACTTTAAAAGTATAGCTATGTGAGCTAACTACCTCAATTTTTCTGAAACATTAAATGCTCAATATGAGGACAGTATAACAGGGACCAAGAGCACAAACTCTAGAGCCGAAATTACCAGCTGTGTGACTTGAGCAAGTTTCTTAACCTGTCTGTGCCCTAATTTCCCTACATAAAGAGGATATTAATAGAACTTACCTCAATGCATTGTCAGGGGAAGTAAATGATTTGAGATGTGCATCATGCATAGAACACTGCCTGACATGTGTTATGTACTTGTTAGCTATTGTTTCAAAATACTGCACACATTTAGCCAAAACTAACACAATACCTGAGACATTCCAACATCTTATTATCTAATGGCTGGCTTTGTCAGGGAGTAAATATGTGGCCTCAGAACCCTTCTCAACAAAGTATTCTATCAGATTCACCAAACAAGAGGAAACCTATTTTTCAACCCAATCTTAGATTGCCTGAACCAAAACAAGACTTTAAAACCACCTTATGCAAACTCTAAGATGTTCTCTCTCTACTGCTTTGTTGTACTACTTAGTTTTTTGCTTTTAAGGCTCTGTTTCATTCTTTAGGATACAATGTAATGCTTGCTTTGTGCAAGAAAGACAAAGTGGCCTTAAGAATCTTACAAACAGATGAGTAAACAATTATAAGATGCAGAACAGAACAACTACTATGATTTCTTAATGTAATGAATTTGCTATGGAAGTACTTAGGAAAAAATGATTTTTTTCAGCAGAGGTGGAAGCCTTGCTACTCTGAGAAGGAAGATATAGCATTTTGATTAAACTCTAAAATACCTTTAAGATTTGGAAGGAAAACAAAGGAGGAGAAAGTATTCAGGACTTAGGGAACTGGAAAAGCAAAGACATAGAAACAAAGGTATATGGATGACTAAAAATCAGTGAGTAGTCCAATAGGTTTAGGGGATGGTCCTCAAATGTCAACTTTCAGACTAGGGCTGGAGTGGTTGCCTTAATCATATGAGTAATTTATTTTTAAAACACAGATACAAATGTCCACTTCTGGCCATGATGAAATAACAAGGACAAGATTTTCTCTCCTGCTTGAAACAGCTAAAAGCACTGGACAAAATATATGAAACATTGATCTCCAAAATACTGGACATCAGATAACAAAGGACAGTGAACCCTAAGAGACAAGAAATAGGTGAGTTGTCTGATTGCCCAGCTTACTGCCTTGACAGAGATTACAGGTTACAATGCATGAAGGGGGAAACCAGGTAGATCTCAGTAAACTTTAAGTTGATGAGATAGTGTTTAAAGTCCAGATAGTCCTAAGCAGCTGTAGTTTGCAAGACAGTGCACCAGAGAGGAAGGAGCAGCACAGAAAGAACTCCAGAGAGGAGCACATGAGGAAATTACCTAAGCCAAGGAAAGAACCACCAGAAAGGAGTAGAGGGAAGAGCAAGTAGCTTTGCTCACCCAGCACCAGAGAGGCTAAGTAACTTTCCAAACCAAAAAACTTCATAATTCATGGGGCATTGCATAAAGTACACAGAAGGGTCCTACACCAGTAGTGGGTATTAATTAGCACTAAACATGACTCAAAAACACAGTTTTGCCTAGCAAATTTTACCAGGAAGTTTCAAACTACTTCCAAATAACTGTGTTCCAGAACAAATTTAGGGATATTTATAGGAATACAATATCCACCATCCAAAGGTTAAATGCCTAGCATCCAAACAAAAATGGTCAGACATGAAAAGAAACAGGAAAATATGACCCATAATAAAAAGAAAAATCAATTAAAACCTCCCAAACTGACACAAGTGTAAGTTTTAGCCAATAATGGCAATAAATACAACTATATACTATCTGTTCAAAAATTAAGTAGAGACACACAAGATAGAAAACACTCAAATTTCTAAAGATGAAAACTACAATGTCTAAGATGAAAAATACACTGGTTGAGTTTAATGGCACATTAGTGCAGAAGAAAAGATTAGTGAATATGAAGACATGGCAGTAAAAGTATCGAACATGAAACACATAGAGAAGAATATTTTTTAAAATAAATACAGCAGCT